TCAGTGTAAAATAAAATGCATATTTTGAAATGTGTGATTGACAAGAAACACTGGAAGAAAAAATTCAAGGAGACTTGCAGAGTCTGCTGTTGATGGCCTTTGAAGTGGAAACTGGACTTCTGCAAAATTTCTTACCCATTGCCTCTTGCCACCAGCTATTACTGAGGAGAATGTGTCTCCCTCTTCTTTATTCCCTCACATCAGATATTTACACACTGGTTAGATTCCCACTGAGCCTTCCTCAAAAGCTCATATTCTGCAAAAGGTGATCTTACCTAGAAAGTGGAAGATGACTGAGAAAAGTAACAGTTCTGCACAACACAAGAATCCAGGAAGATGGCATGGTAGTCCACTGTGGTTTAAATTCCATGCAATGCTAGGTTAGTACCCAATCTTAGTATTGTTTGTGTGTTGGTAATATTGGTCCAGGGACTTTTCTGAGTAATGTGTAATTACCTCTTGAAGCTCCTGATGTCATTTTGAGCAGTTGTATAATAGTATCAAGTTGCTGCAGCAGTAACATGCCTGAAGCCAATGTGATGGATACTGAAAAATTATGTATGAATGTAGCCCCTGCCCACAGAGTAGTCTAGTATTTCTCATGCAGGAATGAGTAGCTGTTTCTACTGGCCCATTTCTTTCTGTGACCAGAACTAAAAGCCAAAACTCCTGCTGAGTAAGGTCTCATGTCTAACACAAACCACTTCATTAAAGATCAAAAACCTTAAAAATTGTTATACAAAGTCATTACTTGTAGAACAAGAGGAAACACTAGACTTTTTTAAGAGCAAATGTTTTAGGACTCCTTGAGGCCACAGGAAAACACAACATTGACTAACGAATGTGAGTGGTGAATGGCAGTGGGTATCTTGGCAAAAGGAAAAATACAAGGACATGCTCACACAAAATTTAACTACATTCACTGATGACATTATTACAGCCCTTTAAATGAGTATTGTATAAGTGTCAGGTTGATTGAAGAATCAGAAATAAGTTCACTGTCTGCTCTTTGAATTTGGCCAGGTTGTGATGTAACCAGGTTATGATGTCTTCTGCCATGACAATTACTCTGGTCTTCAGAATAAGAGTCTAATTAAGGATGGACAATATCTGATGAATCATTAAATATCTTCTAAGATTTTTTTGTAGAGCTACTAAAAATTCCAGGAAGTTTCTTTTGTGTTTATAAAGCATGGTAGTAAATGATGCAAAATTGAAATCAAATTTGTTCGCTTGATCTCAAAACTGTTCCTCTCTTTTTAGTGCTGTGCAAAGGAAACAAGATATACAAGTCTGAAGATCATTATTTGTACCCATTGCTCACAAAGGCTACTCTCCTGCATAAGCTGGCCACAATGAAAAGAGATAATAAAGATGAGAAGGAAAGGTGCCACAATAAGTGAGGAAAGAATGGGAACTGATGAGTCTACTCTTACAGACATAACCAATACTCTTGATAAATGTTAGACTATTAATCCATTTGTTTATTCAGATAAGAAATATTTATGCACTTTGCTACTAGAGTTGTATGAGAGAAGTAATATAATTATGAATCAAATTTTTATTTATCAGCACACTGATTGTTCTCCAAGACTTTGTTACTTGAAACCTTTTAGCAAATTTGCAATTTTCTGTTAAATAAAGCCAAAAAATAGAACCTGGACATCCTATACAGGGTCCTTTAATGCTGCACAAAACTAGAATTTTCAGGGCTTTTCTGTCCTTCTGAATGATCTTCCCACACTACATTTCTGTAAACACATCACACTTTCTGCAAATCTTTTTATTCTTTAGGATATCTGGAAAGCATCCATTGAGAACAACTAAGATAGAAGATATTTCACAGACTTCTGCCACCAATTTCCATTGCTGACCATCATTTAAACAAGTAAGAATCAAAACTGCTCTTTGATGTGGGAGTAAGATGATAACCCAGTATGACCATACAGCAGTAATATAGTGCATTACTATATTGTATATACAGTATTATATATCAAAGACACATAAAGTGACATATTCAGTATTTTAATAATTATGCATGGACTCAAATGACACCAGTAACTCTGTCTACATCGCATCTATCAGAAAAAAGCTGTTACCACCTTATTTTAAAAAATGCATTGATGCCCCTTTTTACTTGAAATAAATAAACCACTGACATCATCTAATTAAGTAATGATGTAGATTTGCTTTTCTAAGACAATTTGATGTATATGTGAATAAGCATTTTAAGGTTGACATAACTTTGAACTCAAAAACTACAGTTCAGTTATCTTTATGTTTATTATAACAGTAGCAACACTTATTCTATTTCTGTAATAATTATTATATATACCTTTATGATGTAATTTTTTGTGCAGATTATTCCTGTGAAAGAAATACTGTTATTCAGATTTATTCCTTTCACTAGGGGTACAATTTTCCTAGTTCCCTCTTTAGTGAATGCAGGGAGATGGGTTTGGTATTTCTTAGTAGTTCTAATATTAAACTCTAATCTTGGCTAATATAATAAACCTCACTTAAAACACTCTGAAAATGCAAATGCATGCTGTTTTCCTTTCTTTTCTACTCATTTTCTATTGCTATTTACCTGTCACTAGCCCTAACCTGAGCCTTCTATATGTTTCTTCAGTATCATCATTAACACTGTTAATTCTCCTCATTTCCTTGTTTCAATGTGTATGTATCCTGAGGTCTGTAAGTTACATGCTATATGATTGTCCTCTCAACTCCTTATTAATCTAAGACCAATTTTCAAAGGAGTTGAACACTAAAAAATGCTCCAGATGTAGGTGGATTAAATTTTGAATATAGCAAGTAATGTACGAATGGCAACTTAAAATAAAAGTTCATGCTCTCAAAGTGTGGCATCCAATCGAATAGATACTTTTTAGCATTTCTGTAGTGTCTTTTTTTCCTCTAATAAGTTGCAGTTCCAGTCTTGAGAATGGACACAATATTGCTTTCAGGTCTGAATAATATGTTGGGAAAAAAAATATTAGCTAATTACGCACTCAATAATATGCTTTAATCTTCAAAAAACAGCCCATGAGAAAAGCAATAACTTCATATAATGTGAAAGATTTGAAGGATCTGCTGAAAGTAGAACAGAGGAACATGACATCTATAATTGAATAAAAAAGAGCATTTAATAGTCATTAGACGTGCACTGTCCTGTTTGTCATTAAACAGAGCCAGAGATCTTGTTACAAACGGTATGTTGTTGTGTAATTAAATGTATTGGAAATGTGAAAGCACATGGGAGTTGAGTTATGCCTGCCAACAATGTTGTTAATGCTTGGGTGGGAGTGGCCAGCAGGAGTATTGTTGTGAGCATCTCACTGGTAGAAAGATAAAGACAGATGCTGGGACTCCACAGTCTGCTGTTCCCCTTGCTTGGCTCAAGGCAGCTGTGTGCATGGCAAGATTACAAAACCATCAGTGCTCTCATTTTTATAGGGGCTGGAGTGTGACAGCAGCTCAATTTTATGTGTGAGTAGGAAAATATCCATGATGAAAGTATCAACCTACTAATTCCTACTGCAAAATGGAAAATCAATTTATCCACGATTTCCAAATCAATTTATCCACCATTAAATATAATACAGTATGTTAACTCTGAAATTTGCATAAAAAATGAAGTTCCAAGAGTGAAGTTTCTAAAACACAAGAAAGTTTATAACTGTTCCTAAAGGAGAACCTGTCTTTTTGCAGATTCAGTACTCCACAAATAAAATATGTCTAAAATATGCTAGAAAAGGATACAACTATCTCTTCGCACTGCCCTATGTATTTAATTGCTAACTTTAATAGTTATGGTAATTATAAAATTCTTATTAAGGATGTTAATATGCTAGTAAATGTGCTTTATTAACATTTTCATCACACAGCTTTGAATTCTGCATTACTACACCGGCTTTTTCTGATCAGGTTCTCAATCTTAGTGAGAAGCATAAATAAACTCAGCTTTTGTCTCTTTTTGTTCAGCTTAAATGGAATTTAGTGTTATTTTTAAAACTTAACAACCAACATAAAACATAGCTTTGGGGCCTGTGTGTCATTACTCATTTTGTTCAAGAGCTAGTCTTCTGTTAGTTTTTTTACTATTATTGGTATCCTTCAGTTAGCCTTTAAAAATTCACTGTAGTTTACTAAGATCAATGATGAGAAACACTTAATCTTTTTACTTCAGATATTTTAACTGTGATATTGAATATCAAGATGCCTAAATAAACCAAGAATTATTGAGCCCCAACTTCAATACTGCAAACTGGGCACACACTTATTTGTAAAATTATTAAAATGCTTAAGTCACAATATCTTCCTGAAATTTTAGGAACATATTAGATTATAAATTTATAACAGTGAATTAATTATTGTGATACCACAATCATAAGTATTTGTTATCTGCTCTAATGAATTATCAAATTCAATAAGTCAGGGAAAGTAAAAACAGAACATGGAGAAACCAGTCAGTTAATTACTTAATTATATTAAAATTCTAAATGACCAAAGGTTTATTTAATGTATTTGGCAAATTCTGTCTGCCCCCCCACCCAGTACCATATAGTATCTTTTGCACACATATGTTGGGCACTGACACTTGCATAATGGGTCAGTATGACTGGTTTCTGCTAATATTTTAGATAATGACTCTACGTGCATATCTTTATATAGCTTAGATGTTTCGAAGTGTAGTTCACCCCTGCCAAAAAAGGAAAACTGAAAAGTTTTAATATTATTTCAGTTAAAATTACACCAGAAACATACTGCACTAAACACAGTACCATACATCTGTTCTGCCAGTCATTAAAACACTCTAGATGGTTGAAATTGTTAAATCTCCTTCAACTGAAGAGAAACCTCAAGTGTAAAGGATCAGTTTGTTGTCAGCAAGCTTCATACTCAGCTGCTACCTTACCATTTTTTATTAGTGCTTAGGCAGAAGTTGCACATCAAGCTGTTAGCACACTGACCAGTTGCTCACCAAGTTTACTCACCCTTTGACCTTCTTTGCCAGGTGGACCTTGGGGACCCTCCAGCAAACCCTGAAAATACAAACATTAAATAATTATAACATTCAGTGCTATTCTCATCCTCTATTTTTCTATAGAAGTAAGACTAGACCAAAGATCCAGATAGCAAGACAGGCATTTATTTCTAATATTAAGAATTGTCTATTCCTAACAATTCCTTCAATGTTATATTAAGGTGCAAGAAAAAGTCCAAACAATAATTATTAAGCACATTCCATCATATAAAGGCTGTATCCTTTGGAAGAGAGGAAGTAAGTCAGCACTAATTAAGCACAGCTATATTTAAGTACAATATTAATTGAAAAGTGATTTATCTTGTTAAGTTAGGATGCCATAAACAATTGACAAAAAAAGTTATTTTAAATGAAAGACAACTTACTCTACAACTCAAATTCAAATATAGGCACTGAAGAGGGAGGGGAAGGCAAGGAAAGGGAACTAAATATAGCAGAAGGCCTTATGCTCTCTGGATCCTAAGAATCAGCCCTGTGCTTCTTCCTCTGCAGTTCTGGCTTAGCTTTTCAAAACACTTTAGTGTCTCTTTTCTCTCTCTCTCTCTTCCCCCTGAACAGGCACTGGAGCTTAGAATGTTTTGAATATATCCTTGACTTGTGAGCCTTCTGTCTGAATTTAGTGCAAGGATCTGCCTTTTTCAGTCAGAGACCAAATCACAGACCAGTTCTGATGCTTTGGGGCTTTAATTTTATACCTGATTATTGTACAGTATAATCATAAAGCCTTCAAATAACATCTCAGAACAACTTAAACAGTCATTCCCCCCACTTCCCCCTTTTTCCATGAGTCACCTTGGAACACAATTTAAAAAATTACTTTGAGGAAGCAATGCAATTTCCATTATAGCAACAAGAAATGAAATAATTTTCAATGTAATGAGCAAAGAATATGTAACAGTTCTGCATTGTATAATTTAAAAAAAAGCCTTGCATGTTATATTGCATATTTTTAGAGATGTCACACAGTTACAGAACTTACATTTTGTTTATTTAAGAATTTGAAATATTAAAATTTTAAAATATTTAAAATTACTCAGCCTCATGTATTGCTTCAGCATGAGTTGTATCTTTAGTCAAATTCAAACAGCTTACTTAGAATCAATTACACATATTTATTGATCCAATAAGGATCAACTGAGGCATCCTCAAAATCATGATGTTTTTAAAGTACGCAGATTTCTAGAAATGAATTTAAGAAGTTCATTTAGGATCTCTAATTCCCAATATAAACTTGAGAAAGTAAGTAGGCATTCCAAAGCTACTAGCTCATATATCTTCAAGTAAAGTTTTAAGTTCATTAGAATGTAGTCTGACTTCAATTTTAAAAAGAAGGGGACACTTCAAGAGCTTTTTCATTTCTACGATTTCTCCACTTTCAAATACTGAAGCTAAAAATATATTTCAGACAGTATTTCTTTATAGGATATTTCTCCTATCATTTCAGTTTATAATGTAAACAGGATAAGGTGTAGGATCTTTCACAAAACTGATACACAACCTTTCCATATTTCACCATAAGTTTATGGAACTAAAATATGCATGAGAATGTGTGTCCAAAAATAATATAATGGTAAGTTAATTACAGGGCAAGGTATGTAGCTTATACATATACAAACCCATAAAGCAGCACATCAATGTGATCTCTAAAACTTCTTTACTTTCTTATCTAGGTAGTGTGGATCTTGTTGTGTTCTGTCTAATTGTTCACAATATTCTAATTCTGTGAAGAAATTCTGAGAATTCAGGAAGAGATGGAATTTTGTTTTGTTAATTTTAGTGACAACTTTATGCAGGGGAATGAGATGAAAACCTGTAATGTCCGTTTTATGGAGAGGAAATACTTAGCCTCACATATCTGTATAATAAGGCTCCAAGGGGACAAGAATTACACAAGAATGTAACTGCACAATAGTGATAATTAATAGCCAACATTTTTATCCAAGGAGTACTTTTATTCTTTTTCTTCTCTTTACAATATTATTGTCAAGAAAAAGGAACCAGATAAGGAGATTTATCTTCAAGGAAAGGGAGGAGAGCTGTGTACAATTGGTAACTAGGCAGGGAGGACTCCCCTGTACAAGGAGCCACATCCTGATATTGAAACTGAGGTAAAAGTTCACACCAACCTCAGTGGGATCTTCCGTTCAAAAATTGATAGGACAACAGAGGCCATGTTAACTAACACAGCTCTAAAACTGTAGTAACTTGGCCAAAGTAATGACATAGCAATGCTATCTTTGCTCAACATTCACTGAAAGAGATCATGGAAAAATAACTGCAGAAGAAACCTGTGGGAGAAATGAAAAAAAAAGAAACCTTCTACAGTGAATTCTGTCTAAACGGAGAAATAAAACATCTGCCATTGAACTTCTATAGAACTTGGCAATGAATAGAAATACATGTTTGTAATATCTAGTTAGGTTGCATTCCTATTTAATTTCTGGAGATCTTCCTTTGGAGATCAAAGATCAGATTTGGCTCCCTTCAGCCATGGATAGCACAGTTGGTCAGAGGAGCCCACCACCACAGATAAAGGGATGGAATACAGACTGAATATACATACCTATATCTATCTATCTATCTATCTATCTATCTATCTATCTATCTATCTATCTATCTATCTATTATCCATCTATCCACTCATTCATCCAGCCATCCAGCCATCCATCCAGCCATCCATCTCTCTATCAGTGGTATATGGGATATGCTGTGGTTTGTGTTCAAAACATTCACGACAGAAGGCAATCTATTCTACAAGTACAAACTCCCAGGTAAACAACAGCCAAAGCCATTAAGATCATAATACCACATAATGGTTTCTCAGAGTTGTAACCAATCTGAACTTGAATGTTTTCAGGGATGGAGCACCACCAACTCTATGGGCAATCTGTTCCAGTGTTTCATCACCCTCATTGTAAAAAACCTTCTTCTTATATCTAATCTAAATTGACCCTCCTTCAGTTTAATACCTCCTTCAGTTTTATCCCTTGTCCTGTCTCAACAGGCTTAGCTAAAGTCTGTCCTCACTTTTCTTATGGGTGACCTTCAAGTATTGCAAGGCAATTGAAATCATTCACTATGTGTCAGTGTCACTCTGATACATTTGAACTGGCAAAAGCATGGCTCTGGGGATGAGCAGAACAATGTCTAGGAACAGCACAAGGCACTGTGAGGTAGAAAACCAGCCTATTTGTGTGACATCAGGCTGGCAGGAAAATATGATGCATCCTTTGAGGTGACTTAACACTCATTGGATTTTCCTGACTTTGCCAGGCCACCTTTGAGGCTGAAAGGTGGCAGCTCTCAACCTACTTCTTGGAACAGTGAATTAAAACAACATACACAGTCTATAAAGCTTGTTCCTGTCATGGAACAAGCAAGCTCCTTGGAGCAATGTACCTCAAGGAGCTTGAGGAACATGAAGTGCAATTGTCTCAAACATTACCATGTAGCTTGGGGAAAATAAAAGCCAGTAAAACGGAGACATTCTTAGGTGCAACTGCAACTTAGAAAATCTACTACAATGAGTGAGGGTGGCTATGAAGTGAGATGATACACGGTGCACTGGTAGGCACAAGAGGGTTGTACAAAATCTTGTAAATGAAGAGCAGAAACTTGTGAATCCCTTTATAAGAGGTAAATCATAAAGGGAAGGTTTGACAAGGGAAAATATTCTGGTTTGAATATAGAACAGAAAAAGGAACCACACTGTGAAAAACATGCAGACAAATATTTAAATGAAATATCATCAAAACTTAGTCTAAGTTGATAGAAACTAGGAAAAAACAACAAGTTTAAAAAATGCTGCAATAGAATAAGTGAGTTTTTAAAAGAATTTGTATTGAATAAACATTTTAGTACTTTAACAGCCAGTATTTTTTTAAAGTATCAGGAGATAAAAACTAATAAAATTATTTAACCTGAGACAGTAGAAGAAAAATATGTTAGGAAGGTACAGAAAAATCAGTGATCAGTTCTGCCAGTTAAGCTCTTTTAAGTTTCAAAAGCTGTTAATTTGAAGTGTATGAGTGTGGTACTATCAGAAGCCACTTACTGTAGAAGGGCTGTCATGTGAATCTGCAGGTAGAAAAGCATTTTTAAATACCTGATACATCACAATAAGCATCTGCAGAGACATGGTGGAGGCATTGTTCATAAATGTAATAACTCAGAGAAAGTGCCTAAGAACATACTCTCAAAAAACTGAAGTTTTTATCGTGACTCCATGGTGAAAAAAATAATGTAAAAAAAAAAAAAAGGAAAAAACCCAGCTAAAGTGAAATAGTGAGGTTACTTAAAGCTGTTATTCATGTTACTTCTCACAGAAGATTATGGTTGATGTCAAGAGAGCAAAATATTAGACAAATACATATATTTTCAGGATTCTGAAAGTTGCTTCAAAACATAGCTGATAGTTTTTGAGGCAGAAGGGTAGACAGCTGCCCTATGTACTTGTAGGTAGCATTGCTGGAATACATTCTGAGCTGGAATACATTTCATTCTCAACAAAAATTAAATATAATACAAATGTTAACAATAATAATAATTAAAGCACAAAATTTATTTCATTTATAGACTGGTTTGTCTGCTCTATACACAAACTACTTTCACCCACTACTTTCACTATTTTCCTCACTATGAATTCCAGCAAACACATGACCTCAACTTTTACAGAATAAATGCTATTAGACAGGGAGAAAATGTATGTAATTTAGTGAGATGAGTTAAACAAAGACAGAGAAAAAGTCTAAATTAGGTATGCAGAAATGCCTTGTGATAATTTAAGAATAGGTAATTTTTTAATCATTTTAATATGGAAGCTTTTAGAATTATAAAATTTGCTACTTCAAAAAGACTCAGCTGTAACATACATGATTTTGCCAAGCAATTTCAAAACATTATGTTGATAAACAGAAAGGTATAGTTCCACTGATACAACATCACCACCGAAATATTTAAAAAAGAAGACTGCCACGCAGTTCCTATTGCATGTGATTG